TCATTGTGGGAAAATTCTACTACCAGTCCTTCATCACCTTACACGAAATAGGGTGAATACATCTCATAGAATAAACAGTCGCAACTGCCGCACAAACACTTTCTGCTATAAGTAAAATAGATGGATCCTATTCAGCACTACTCCTTGCACCTGTTGAGCTAAGGCAAGCTGCTGAGCTGGGTTTGAAAGAAGAAGATATTAAGACTGGCAATTTCGAAACGCTGCTCACGAAATGCACTACTTCTGTATAGTTTATAAGTAGTCATTCTAGTATATCAGCTGTTAATTTGTATATGAAGGCTATTTTCACTGACATGAAGTGAGCAATTAAACTAAATAAACTCGACTGCGTCGGGCCGATGAGTAAGGCCATGAATCGCTTCTTTTGAAGTGCATCTGACGAAATGCATCTGCTGCTGCTGCTGCTGCTGCCTGGGTCGTAACAGACGAAGCTGGTTGGCAAATCGGATACCGACGACTGGAGAGATGGCGGCGAGTTCAAAGACTGTGACGACCCCTGGCGTGCACAAGCCAGTGGGATGGAGGAGAGATTCTGCAAAAATAACAAATCCACGTGAATTTGTCAAGGCGTGGCGCCCGGATTAGATGCTGTCCGAGTCAACACCCGATTGGCGCCTCGCTTTCAGTCCGTTGTTGTGTTGTTGTGCCCGTGCAATTGTCTGTCTCTACGGCTGTACCGATCGTCAATTAGCCGTCACGACAACAAAGTCTACCACTGTTCTGGGTCGTCTTGACGCTGGCTCCAGAGGGCTTGGTGTTGGCCTTCTACACTGACGGTAAAAGGGAGGAGAGGAGGGGAAGAAGCGCCGAGGTTTTGGGCTCTTTCTACGCTCGAACTGGCCAATTCGCAAATGTTGATACAGAAATTAATGTTTCTGCGGTGTACGTCTGACACGCAACGGAAAGTAGGCCAAGGGAAACGGAACAATCGGAAGCAGGCAGACGAAAAATAATCAGATCTCCACCTGACCGGGAAGAGAAGTGAGGAGTAGAGACAGAGTTGAACTGGGCGGTCTCGACGTGTGGCGTAATCACACACTTGGCCGACCTCAATTGTTGCTTTGTCGTCTGGCTTACGCCTGGACAACCGTTTCGTGCTCCTATCAGTGCTCCGTTGCCATGACCGGAGACTAGAGACGACTGGAGCCTGGAGTCGGGAGTTGGGAGTAGGGAGTCGGGCGTCGGGGCCAACCGGGAGACGAGTGACTCGTTTCAATGTGAGGCAGTGAGGGAGAAAAGGAGAAAGAGCAAGAGACAGTCAAGTCTACCTACTTGGCGGATGGAGTGGGGTAGCGATCGGTGGAGCCTGTGGCGGGTGGGAAAGCCACCTCAGGCGATAGTGACGCCGAGACCAGACGTGAACATAGTGTCTGGCCAAAAGAGGGAAAGTGTGCAAGACAAGACAGATTGACGCGGTGGAGAGAAGGTGAAGGGCCAGACTGGCGGACGGAAATGCAAGAGGGAGGTGCAAGCAGACTTCCGACATGAAGCCCTCGGTCATGTTAGGGAACGGGGGACGGATCTGCCATTGCCAAGTAGGACGATGAGGGAAAGTTGGGTATGATAGATAAGCATACATTGTTTATGTATGTAAATATAAATCTGTATATGCACATAGATACAACGATAAGTATTAATTTCATATATTAATATATATATACTTACATTTTTACTATTTCCTCATACATTATCTGAAATGTATGCCGATACATTATATAAAAATATATTTAAAAGCAAATATTATACATAAATACATGCTTATATATATTTTTTTTAAAGCATACATGATTTATGATATATGAACTAATATAAATAGTAATATGCTTATATGTATATATATCTATATATATATATATAAACATATATTAACCGCACTGCATTATTATTACTTTTACTACATATATCATATATAATGTAAGTCTTGAAAAAAAGCATACATTCTATATACTGTGCAAGAAGTAGATAATGTATGCTTTTTAATATATATGTATGTAATAGATAGCATAAACTATCAACCTATATGTTTATCTATGATACCCAATATATTCATATCTCGCACAAATTACGCTCACCATCCGACATTTATATGTATATATATATATAAAGAGAGAGAGAGAGAAAGAGATACAAATACCCATTTCAATGGGTAAACAGGTTGGGAAACTAAGCCCCAACTGGCGCCATTCTGGGCCGGTTTAAGGCGTCTCCGTTACTAGAGACTGTCAATGACACAACTCCGAGGCGGGCTCGGTCTACCGACCTTATGGTCGAATTGTCTTTTTGGGCTGGCGGCATGGAGCCGGTAG